GCTACCGTATCCTCGCAGGCAGCGCGGGTGGGCGTGGCCGGGCGTCTATATCAACTCTCGGCGCTCACTCCAATTTTTGCCCAAACAAGTTCTGCCAATGATAACCCAATGCGACTCAGTTCATCACTAATTGTTCATTTACTCGATCGATACCGGCGACACGCAACTCGTCTCGCGATTAATGGATTTACGGTTTTAATGCGTCACAAATGTGCCTCTGCCATTCACGCCTCTCTCGCTCGTTCTTCTTGACTAGCTGTGAATCTGAGATCTCTTGCTTTGTATGTCTTATGGCTGCACTTTCAGATCTAGCGGATGTGCTGATTAGAGACGTGAACGCGTCGAGAACACACGTAGGAATCATGGAGATTCAAGCACATCTGATGCACCATAACCCGTACGATCTAGTCAAAACCGAAGAGCCTTCGACACCACCGAAGTCGAAGTCGACATGTGAGTTTCAGTCGAAGTGTGTGCTGGGCGTTTCTCGAGGTTCGATCAGCGTCATATGGTCAGCCTGGAATTGATCCCGTGCGCGTCAGGCACCACGGAATTGAGAGCGAAGATACGAAGATGTTGACGGCGTTTCAGAAAAGCCTCTGATGTGCAGATTATAGCGCGAGTGCGTAGTTTTCATTTAGCTGTGGCAAGCTTGGCGTTTTGTGGCATTTTTGCAGAACATTCGAGAGAGTCTCTTACGACTTTGAAAGCCCAGTTTTTTGCTGGCATCAGTTGCTTTGACTTCGGTTCGCGTTGTTGATTGATGCTCAAAATCTCGACGCGCGATTGTTATGGTCAAGGCGAGCGGGAATCGTTCTCGCCTGCTATCAGAGCAAAACATGCTAAATACTCGGGGCTAGAGATCCATAGCCAATCAACTTTGCACAAAATCACTTCAAAATTTGTTTTACAGTGTGCTCGTCAACCGACATGCTCTTCAGCGTATCTAATTTCAATATCCAATCAAATTTCTGTCCACCTGTCAACAATAACCATGACCCGTTGAATAATAATCACGTGAAGATCAGCTCAAATGGTGAGAAATAGCAAATCGGAGCGTGTTCTTTAGCATCTTCATAAAACGCTCTACGATCTTCTAGGCAGAACCCTGGCGGCAGATCGTAAACGGCCGTATCCGTGCAACCTATGCACGTCTAGGTTTGGCAGCAAAATGGAGCTTGAAGAGCATCAGAATAGCCATACGGGCATGAAACCGTTCGAATGCGATGTGAGCTATTTTTACCGAATTTATTCTGCCTAGTTTTGTCTTGATTGTGTGAAAAAAA